TTTTGCTATAACCTGAATATCCCTGTTCTTTGTAGTGTATTTCAATGGAAACACTGTGAATAGATGATCATTTCACTAAATTGTCATCCTTGGGGATTTCAGAGGATCATTTCAGCCTCACTTGTAAAAAAATGCCAGTGTTGTCACTCTCTTCTCTCTGATAAATTACTTTATTTATGTTAGATAAAGAAGAATCTGACATGTTGCATTAAAACAATTTGACATAATGATTTCACTTATATAGAGACTGAAAGGTAATATTTAGTTAATTTTGACAATGGTTTATTAGAATTACAATAAATTAAACTTGTAGAACTAGATGAAATGAACTTGATCAAGCACAATAAAAGTTACAAATTCCTATGTAAATAGTGTTGGTTTTCAAGACTCTGATGGTTCCTGAGATAGGCTAAAGGGTGAAGGTGATCCCATATCTTTTACTAGAAAAAAAAAAATAGTGAATTAAGTGTTTTCAACCCTGTCTACCTTCAGGGTTCTTACACACTCTGTTCATGAAGAGAAGCCCATGTATTCTCCCATAGCACTTCTTTTTCTCCTTGCAGGTGGTTCCAAGTAAAAACTCTTGATGTGGATGACATGGACCATGGACCAAGCATTGTTCTCTGCTTTGTCTTCATAAAATTCAAAGAGACGTAAGTGTAGATTCCCTTCATTATTTGAATTACTGGATAAAACAGAAAATATTTAGTATATAGTTTATGTTTGAAACACTTATTCTTTAAACTTTCGAATATAATCTCTGTTTAAATATCTCTTACCTCTGTGAATAAAGTTGTTTTTTTCCCCTGACCATAAAAATATTAAATTGAAATACAAAAAACTAGGTGATCTCTTTCATTTGGAAATCAACCACTAACTAAAATATTATTGTCAAAAATGAGTAATAGTACGTTATTTTCTAATGCCACTAAATTATGCTTGAAAGGCCATTTTATAAATATTGATTATACAGCATTGCAAAAATTTATAAAATAGTAGAATAAAAAGGAAAACAAAAATTCCTACATTATACTCACAATATGTGTGTTTGGAGGAAAATGACTAGGAAGAAATACATCAAAATATAAACTGTCATTTTGTGAAATAGAAACATTTTTTCTCTCTTTTCTAGCATTTTTTTTGTTCTTAGTTTTTCTACAATTGAAAGTATTATTTTGTAAATACACCTAAGATGAATTTTATTTAAAAGTAGAAAATTAATTCTTTGTCTTTTTTCACTTTAAATTTCTTCTCAGTTCAACTGTTTTTCCCCCCTCTGTTTTAATCCTTTTGCTTCTATGAGTTATTTCCTTTGTCTTTCTTTTTCGTTTGCTTCTCAGAATTCGTTCTGAATTCTACCTCCTATCATGTGCTGTTGTCTTTGCTACTTCCTTACTATCACCAGCTCTGGTCACCTCCTGGTTCTTTGTCTCTCTATCTCTTGTTGATGGTTCAGCCATTTACACCCATAATCAATTCACTATCTGTTCTTCCTGACCCTTCGGGCTACCATATTGCTAAAGATAAAATGAAAAATTAATAGCAAACAAATAGTTCATTAATGATGTGATTTATCATCTTATAATCTTGTCTCACAAAGATCTTTTGCAGCAATAGATATTCCAGTGACTCTCTAGCTCCTGTGGGATTCCTTTCTTTCCATATACCCAAGAGGGTAATGGCCTCTTTTTTTTTTTTTTAAATCTTTATGGTATTTTAAATTAGTGTACATTCTTTTTGTCTTCCTCTTTCCTTTCTATCTTTCTGTTCTTCTCCCTTCCCCCACATGCTGTTGTTAAACTCATCATTTCTCCTTTCTGTTTTCCAAAAGTTTGAAAAGTTTCATGTATGGCTGAACCCAGAACCATGGGAATTCCTTGACAGAAGTCATGTAATGATCTCTTCAGATTGTGATCTTTAAAGTGATAGACCTGGACTTACTCCTAGTTTTGTGACTTTGAGTAAATGGCCAAACCTCTCTCACTTTTGTTCCTGGCTCATATTCAAATGGGGCAATCATGGTCTCAAAGGCTGCTTAATAAAGCCAAAGACAGTGAGTGAAAGTGTTTTGTAAGGTGCTTCCCACCTCTTCCCCTTTTCCATCTGATCCACACCTGTCCCTTTTTCTTTCCACACTTGCTATTCATTTTCCTAACAAACCTTGTGTTGCAAATGCAATAATGAGTATGTGATTACCTAAAAATGCTATTGTCTTTCTGATGTTGGGTCTTCCAGGACTATTTTCAATCTGGCAAAGTTTTCCTTATGCTTCAACTCTCAATGACAATGAGAGACATCTTTAAAAGCCTTTGCCCACTGCTTTCCAAACCCAGCCCTCCCACAGCTGGGTTAGGGGCTTCTTCTGTGTGGCTCCTAACCTTTGTACTTTTTTCTGTAACTCTTCTCATGTGATTCTTTACCTGCTTCATCAATTCACTAAACTGTGATCCTTCAAAGGCAGAACTTTTGTGCCTTCTCTCCATACCCTGATGTCTCATCAAGACTCTGTTGTGTTGCACACAGTCTGCTAACATTGGATGAATGAATGAATGAATTCCAATGAAACTATTTTCAGCAAAAGATTATCTAAGCTTTTTAAAAATGCATTAATTGAAATACAGAAAAAAATAATTGATTAACCCTTTCTTCACATGGGTATGATGTATTGTAATTAACTGACCAATTCCAGAATCAATATAAAGAATATCCTGGGACTGGGGTTGTGGCTCAGAGGTAGAGCTCTCGCCTGTCATGCATGAGGCACTGGGTTCAATCCTTAGCACCACATAAAAATAAAATAAAGATATTGTGTTCACCTGTAACTAAAAAAAATAAATATTAAAGAAAATATCCTACTATGCATGATGTTTTCTTATCCTGAAACAGTACCCCATTGGTGCTTAGATATTGGATTTCATGGATGCCATTAAGTAAGGTGATATCAAAGAGAAAAAAATAGCAGTTAAATATAAAATAATTAATGTGAAATGTGTGCAATTCCAAAAGAAAGGAATTTGACCACAAAACAGTAAACCTGCAGAAAGGAAGCCCAATAATTACTGTTCACTTCCAGACAGTTCCTTGAATTGAGCTAAGGCTATCTGAATTAGAGGCAGCTGTATAATCCAAACGTTGTGCAGCATACAGAATCAGATTGAGTGCTCGAGTGTCTGCACCCTAGGAAATTGATTTGACGACTATGTCAATTACTTCTGGCACCAAGCTTTCTGTGGGTTGCATTACAACTGCTCTTTTGGTCAGCTGTGACTGCTTCCCTATCCACGCCTATTGTTTTAGATTTATTTACTGCACCGGCAATCATAAATTATGGACTCCTTTCTATACCATCTGGAAACTCTAGTGTCATGGTTTAGGTCACTTTTGATTACTTGCTCTTATTCCCAGCTACTGCCAAGGCTGATGTATCTTGAATTATGAAAGACTTCCGCCACAAGCTGACCTATTTGTGAGCAACCTTTCAGCATCTACATATGTTTATTTTATCCAACATATTGCTGAATAAAATAAAAAGTGTATTCTCTGATCCTCCGGGGAATTATTCCTGTATTTGTGATACTAAATTTTTAAAGCTCACAATTTGGTGAACAATTCGCTTGTTAACCTACTATGTATTTTTATCATCCTCATAAGGACAGGTTGCATGTATCAATCATCCTGTTTTCCTTGGTGTTGGAAATGTAATACTCCTGATAGTCTCACCCAAACTTAATTCTTACACAGGATATCCCATTATGTAATATGAACTTAAAATTAGGATGTGGGTTTCCCCTTATCTTCCAAATAGTCCTTAAACATCAAGACGAACATTTCTTTATTTTCTCTGCATTCTCGTCTTCACGATTCTAACAACTGAGTTTAGTTAGTACAAGACTTGCCTGAAAAGCTGGCCAGAAATCATCTCTCTCCCACCAAAGGACGCTGATGCCTACCTGTGTGGACAGCATCAACAGATTACTTTCATTTTACACAGATGGTTCACTGGCAACCCAGATCAAATCTGAAACTGTGCTATCAAGCAGTTTATATCCAGAGCAGCAATTTGAATATTGGAATTTTGTTGAATTTCCCAGGCCACAGCTGCTTGCATCTGACATCTGCTTCAATTTTTTGAGCAGCCAGTGACGTTTTTTTTTCCCCCCTTGGCAATCTCAAGGTTGAGTTTTGTAGGGCTATGTTCATATCTACTTAGTCCTCATCAAGTCTCTCTCTCTAAATTGTGTAATGATCCACATCATAGTGTGTGTTAAAGAATCCCGGCTGTTCTCCACTGTTCGCTCTCTCTCTCTCTTTTTAAACATCAAATGCCACCTTAATTGTGATTGGAAATATCTCCATTTTCCAATAATTTTTCCCTATGCAAGAGACTTTATTAACTTTCATTAGTTGAAGTCACTATCAGAATGAAAAAAAGACAAATGAAGTAGAGTTGTTGGATTCCTACATGATTCTCTTGTTACTCAGTTATCCTCTTGGAGAACCTGTAGATAAGAGGATGGATTGTTTTCTTCTAAGACAAAGTTCCAGTGAATGTCATCTAATTATCTCTACATCTTTTAAAAATTATTTTTAGCTGTAGTTGGACATAACATCTTTATTTTATTTATTTATTGTTATGTGGTGCTGAGGATTGAACCCAGCTCCTCACATGTGCTAGGTGAGTGCACCACCACTGAGCCACAACCCCAGCCCCATTATCTCTACATCTTGATATACCCAAATTACTCATTCAAATCTTTGACTAAAGGATCTATATAGAGAAGAAAAAGTTTAATTGGGACTCATGGTTTCAAAGATCTCAATCCACAGTTGTCTGGCTTCATAGCTTTGGGCCTGAAGCAAGGCAGAAGGACATGGTACAGGAAAGCAGCTCAGGACACGGCAATCTGGAAGCATAGAGATAGTTCCACTCACCTAAGATAAAATAGAAATCCCAAAGGCAGGACCCCAGAGAACTACCTCTTCTAGCTATACCTTGCCCAACTACAGTTACCACGCAGTTAATACAAGTCAGTGGATTAATACACTGATTATGTCACAGCTCTCACAATCTAATCATTTCACCTTCTGACCATTCTTGCATTATCTTAAACATGAGCTTTTGGGAGACACCACATTTCCAAACCATAACAATCTACTAGCATACCATGATACCAACTCACATCAGATTACCTTCTATTATATTATATATGCAGTGTCCCAATAAGACTTAATTTGACCAAGGCATTATGGTAAATACTTCAAAATTGTGTATTCTGTTTGTTGCCTTTCATCTTTTGAAAATACAGAATGGCCCAATCAATGTGTCAAGCAGTAAGTCTGAGTTTAGAGCTGGTAGGATGCTTCAGCCATTGCTTTCCTTTACATGATTTTTAATCTACCTGTAAGATCCAAAGATGCGCAGTGATAGCTGTTAACATACTGCCATATTCCCACGTCATCTAATAACAGACCTTGTAAGAAAGCAAAGAGTAATATCATAAGAACCCTGTGATTTGCTATCTAAAAGATGAATGAAAAGCACACCATTTTCTCTTTGTTATTAGAAGAGTGAATATTAGTCCAGTTGTGCCTTTGCTTTGAAAAAAAAATTATAATGAAGGATGCTGTTGGCAAGGTGTGATATTACTTCAGCTAGGTGCCTGCTATGCTCTCATCTTTCTTTTCCTTTCTACCTATTCCACAGTCTTTTTTACAGAGAAGGGTGATGAAAAGTTTAACTGACTGGTGTTGTCGTGGTTGGAAACCTCCAGAAAGAGAGTATTCCTTGATTATTTCCTACATGCATTTGCAGTTCCTTTCATTGAGCTTTTTGGAGCAACATAATTCAGGCATCTGCATCTAAGAATTGCTTATATAACAGGTCTTTAAAATATGCCAAGATGAAAAGGAAAAAAAATGCAATGTTATGTTGGTGTTGAGGGGCTTCCGGTAATAAGATTGTATTTTTTATTTTCCCAGTGTGAAGAAGCAAGAAGATTAACCGGTTGTGGCAGAATTCTGAATATTAAAATGGGTTTTCAAGTCAGAGGATAGGCAGATACTTAATTTCTGTACAATGATGGTTGCTGTAAACAGAAGCCGATAGTAAGCCAAAGAAATTTTATTTTTTAACATGGAGAAGACTTTGAAAGCAAAACTTTTTTTTTGATTGTTTACTTTGTTTTTGTTTTTTTTTTAAGCGCCTGGAAATAAAGGACTGGCATCATGTTAAAAACTAAACAAAAACTTTGATTGTTGGTGATTCTCTCAAAGGAGCAACAATGAATGAAAAAGTAAAGTTCGTGATGTGAGTCAGAGAAACATCAAGAAGACACACATTATAATGCTGGTTAGCCTTTTATTAAGATTGCTATTGTATGGCAATGCATAAAACAGTGGATATTGGTCTCCTTACATCAATACTGTCTTGGCACTTTCTGAGGTCACACCAGTCATCTTTTATTCATGTTGTCATTGGGAGTGGAAGTTATGCTAATAGAGCTGGGTCAGGCACACGAAGGCATAAGGAGAGGCCAGGCATAAATCCCAGGCCAGAGGCTCATCAACAATCACAACGGTTGCAATGAAGCTGCACCAAACAAGGGCAGAAGGGCCCCCTTCTAAATCTTTGTCCTCTGTCCCTCAGTTGACCAAATGACAGTCAAGTCCCATGTGACCTATTCATTCACCCTCCCATTCATTCATTTGCTCATTTGTGTCCATTAACAAAACACATGGCAAAGGGGAAAGAAGAGTTCTCATGTCACCCTTCTTCCTAGGAAGGTGCGTCTGCACCATTTATAGAGTTTTATAAACAGCATTTGTGCCTGATTTGTGTCTGGAGAAGTGTGGAAAGCATGAAGCATTTCATATAGTTTTTTTTTTTTTTAAAACATGGAAACATTTACTCATCATAAAATTTACCATGATTTTTTTTTCTTGTTCCAGCAGTTCTGCAAGTTCTAGCATCTCAGCTAAGTAAAGCTTGAATTATTCTGTCTGTGGTCCTTTCTTACGTTGTGATAAATGACTGAGATCTCATTCAAAATGAGACATTTCAATGGATTTCTCAAGAATATTGTTGTCTTCTTTTAGGTTCTGTGCTATACTTGAAAGAACATAATGTCTACAATAATTATTTTTAGAGGATTTATTTTAATAAATCATGTACCTATCTTTAAATAATTTAAAGGAATAAAACAATTCTCCTTTAAAATAAAAGATTACCATCAGTGACCAATTTTTCAAATACATGCAAACCATCATTTTACATCTCACTAAACACAGAAAACATTTTATCACCATATGTATTTGTTACATGTGGACTCTATTTAATTTATGGAGTAAAATGTGATTTCCCATGAAAGATTGTTACACATTTAAAAAACTGTCCAATTTCTAGTTTAAATTTTCAAGCTATAGATTAATTATTTAGCTTTAGAAGACTTTAAATAGAATAGCTGCTCCTTCAGAACATTCTGCAGACCATTATTTATAAATAATATGTTACATGAATTCAAGTTAGAGTGACGATAAACTTCAGTGCACATATTGCTCTTATCATTTATAGTGAATCTAAATAAAACATCAATAGGCATGCGATGTACAGAGAAGCAAATACTGATAATGGCAAAACCAAGCTTGTCAACAACAGTGTTAAAACCAATGTGCTTAATTAAAAAAGTGAAGTCAATTAAAATCAAAATAACAGTGCAGCATGTACAAATGCTGGAATAATCATTAGGCCTTGCTGAATAATGGAAGAGTATAGAATTTTTTTAATGGAACAGCAGGGGTGATACATTACACAAAGCAACAATCTACAACAATATGACAATCGAATTACTTCAGCCCCATTAGGCAGGTGCAGAGGAATAATTAACATGAATTTTTCCAATGAAAAGAAAAAAATAAAACTTTTTTCCCACTAATAACGCTAAACTTTACACCTCCAACACACCTTGAATTAAAAATTATAAGCTATGATAGCACATTTTTAAAATGTAAGATTTAAAGGCAAGGGAGATTTCTGTTTACTTTCTACAAATTGAATAATAGAGGAAAAATGTACATGAAGCCCTTATGGTAAAATGCTAACCTTTCAAGTGTGCTTTGCCTGTATGCACTTCTTTTGATTTTTAGGGCTTAAAAACAAAATAATAAAGGATGTGCAATAGTTTTTGACTGTCTAATCTAATTCAGATACAAAGGGCATCACATAAAGCCCTAGGCGATATGTGTTACCTTATTTCCAGCTCAGATTCAAAACAAATTATGACTTCCACAGAAAGGAAAGCAACCTCACGCTTCTTCACAAAAGGCTAGGAGTTTAAGATCTCCTGCTACTTTTCTTGACAAAAGTATTATCCCGTTTTGAAACTGCTGTCATAGACATCTTGCTCTTTTATATACTTCTGATAGAAACCACTTAATTTATGATGAGATAAATGGCCATGTGCCCAAAGGACTAAAACTTTTCATTCCTGCCCTTAGCATCAAGGATTTAGAAAGTGAAGCCCATTCATCCCCTTATCCATTTAGATAGCTCTGAATGAGCTGATCCAAGGGGAGACTGTCACAGGATGGGGGGGGGGTGGCGTGTTGGTTTGGAAACAGTTGTTTGCCTTTCTATGGGATCTTCCATCTTTAGCCTTCTGGTGAGATTTCTTCATTAATCCCCATTTGGTTTCTGTGGAAGTTCTACCTTCTCATGAAACAAAACAAATACAGGAGTTTCTGTTTAAGATTGGTATTATGGTTCAAGTGTGAGGTGTCTCCCCAAAAGCTCATGTGCAAAAAAAAAATGCAAGATGGTTTAGAGGAAAAATGATTGGGTCATGAGAATCTTAAATCCTGTCCACCAATTAATCTCTTGATGGGATTAACTGAGTGGTAACTGAAGATAAGTAGGGTGTGACTGGAGGAAGTGAGTCATTGGGGGCATGCCTTT